GCCCGACTCTCAGGCCAGTTGCTTGTTTATAACAATATTCCAATAGAAATAGCGGCTTAACCAAATTCACTCGAATTTCGCCAGAATGTGTTTGAACGTACAAGAATCAACTAAAAAAACATAGATTATGTTTAAAAATTGGGTGTCGTGAACTCTTCAAGAAACAAACAGAGAGCTGAGTAGATCAAGGAACACACCGGGGTGGAGGTCATCATAGTTGAAATCAAGAAGAAGAAATGAACATAGGCCAGGTATTTGTAGTGCGTAGGAAGGATAACCACTGGTCATTCAAAGTTACTAACTGAATTTCCAGAGAAGACAAGCGAGTTAGGGGGAGACAGAAAGTGGGGTGGGCAAAATAGATCAAGAGGTTTGCAGGTCATCATCATCATCACCATCATCCTGACTACGTACACTGCAGGACAAAGGCCTCTCCGATGTTCCGCCAGTTATCCCGGTCCTGTGCTTGCTGCTGCGAATTTATACTTGCAAACTTCTTAATCTCGTCTGCCCACCTAACCTTCTGTCTCCTCCTAACCCGCTTCCCTTCTCTGGGAATCCAATTAGTTACCCTTAATGACCAGCGGTTATCCTGTCTACGCGCTTAATGCCCGGCCCATGTCCATTTCTTCTTCTTTATTTCAAGTATGATATCCTTAACCCCCGTTTGTCCCCTAATCCACTCTGCTCTCTTCTTGTCTCTTAAGGTTACACCTACCAATTTTCTTTCCATTGCTCGCTGCGTCGTCCTCAATTTAAGCTGAACCCTCTTTGTAAGTCTCCAGGTTTCTGCTCCGTAGCTAAGTACCGGCAAGATACAGCTGTTATATACCTTCCTCTTGAGGGATAGTGGATATCTACCTGTCATAATTTGAGAGTGCTTGCCAAATGTGCTCCACCCCATTCTTATTCTTCTAGTTGCTTCAATCTCGTGGTTAGGCTCTGCGGTTATTACCTGCCCTAAGTAGACAGTCTTTTACAACTTCAAGTGCACTATTACCTATCTCGAAGCGCTGCTCCTCTCCGAGGTTGTTGTACATTACTTTCGTTTTCTGCAGATAAATTTTTAGACCCACCTTTCTGCACTCCTTGTCTAACTCTGTAATCCTGAGTTGCAATTCGTCCCCTGAGTTACTCAGCAATGCAATGTCATCGGCGAAGCGCAAGTTACTAAGGTATTCTCCATTAACTCTTATCCCTAACTGTTCCCATTCTAGGCTTCTGAAAACCTCCTGTTAGCACGCGGTAAATAGCATTGGGGAGATTGTGTCCCCCTGCCTTACACCCTTCTTGATTGGTATTCTGTTGCTTTCTTTATGAAGCACTATGGTAGCAGTTGTTCCCCTGTAGATTTCTTCCAGAATGTTTATATACACTTCATCTAACGCCCGGATTCCGCAGTGTCTGCATGACGGCTGATATTTCTAATGAATCAAACGCCTTCTCGTAATCTATGAAGGCTATGTATAGTGGTTGGTTATACTCTGAGCATTTCTCTATAACCTGATTGAAAGTATGAATGTGGTCAATTGTTGAGTAGCCTGTTCTAAATCCTGCTTGTTCTTTTGGTTGATTGAATTCTAATGTTTTCTTTACTGTGTTATCAATTACCTTTGTAAATAGCTTGTATACTACAGAGAGCAAGCTGATCGGCCTGTAATTCTTCAAGTCCTTGTCATCTCCTTTCTTATGTATTAAAATGATGTTAGCGTTCTTCCAAGACTCTGGTACCCTTCCCGTCAGGAGACACCTCGTAAACAGGGTGGCTAGTTTTTCTAACACAATCTGTCCTCCATCATTCAGCAGGTCTGATCTTACCTGATCCTCACCAGCAGCTTTGCCTCTTTGCATGCTCTCCAAAGCTTTTCTGACTTCTTCTATCATTACTGGTGGGGTGTCATCTGGGTTACTGCTAGTTCTTATAGCATTAAGGTCGTGGTTGTCTCGGCTACTGTACAGATCTCTGTAAAACTTCTCCGCTATTTTAACTATCCTATTCATATTGGTAGTTATTTTGCCTTCTTTGTCCCTTAGGGCATACATTCGACTTTTGCCTATCCCAAGCTTCCTCTTCACTGCTTTGACGCTTCCTCCGTTTTTCAGAGCGTGTCCAATTCTCTCCTTGTTATACCTTCTTACATCGCATACCTTACGCCTATTAATCAACTTCGAAAGCTCTGCCAGTTCTATTTTGTCTGTTGTACTTGATACTTTCATGATTTGACGCTTCTTAATTAGGTTCTTCATTTCCTGGGAACGCTTGCCAGTGTCCTGTCTAACTACCCTGCCTCCAACTTCCACTGCACACTCCGTAATGATACTCGTCAGATTATCATTTATTGTATATACGTTAAGGTTGGTTTCCTCACTAAGAGCCGAGGACCTGTTCTGCAGCGACACTCTGAATTCCTGTACTTTCTCTCTCAGTGCTAGCTCATTGATTGGCTTCTTGCGTATCAGTTTCTGTCGTTCCTTCTTCAAGTCTGGGCGAATTCGAGACCGTACCATTCTATGGTCACTGCATCGTACCTTGCCAACCACTTCCACATCCTTCACGAATCCTGGGTGTGCAGTCATTTTAAATTCTTATAAGGTTTGCAGGTATACATTGCCAACTGGCAACAGCAAGCGCAGGATCGAGTTGACTGGCAGATCATGGAAGAGGCCTTTGTCCTGCAGTGGAGGTAGTCAAGCTGATAATGATGGTGATGATGATATTGATGTTGGTTTGGATATTTCACCCTTGCCGACTATGCGCCTAGTGATGAGGACAAAGTGTGACAATAATGAGGCACGTTTTTAAATTTACACGCATGTTTTTACCGATGGTCACTGAATGTCTAAGAGGCGTGGGAACCACCATCGCAGGCCAAGGAGTTATGGGCTCCCATGTCATCCGCAGGAAGAATATTTCTTCCTCCAGGTTTAGGTGTGTAGCTCGTTAGATGCACGGCTTGTCATGCATTCGTAGATATCGCGTGGCATGAACACGCTCACGATTGAACAAAGAAGGCGTTCAAAAAGTATAATTGCTCTGAACAATGTTAACATAATTGGACAGGGTCTAACATAATATATTTGAGAGAAATAACAATCGGAATATTCAAATACCTTGAAATACCTAAAAACACTTTGAAACACGCAGCTTAGACTTGCGCCACTCAGAGAGGTTGCCACCACCTCGCCAAAGGCGTGATTGTACTCCAACCGGGACCTTCATTGCTACATGCCAAGAGTGAAAATACCTGATGCAACTGCCGTCAAATGGCGCGACTATCGCCTGGCGTGAAATGACGGAAGTCGATAAAGCGTGGCAGAAAGTGGCAGATCAAGTTTGCAAATTTTGTCAACAAGGTTGTGGTCGTACGGAGAAAGCGATACGTGCATACCTTTTTCTCTGTCTTCCAGAAATTGACGTCATTGATGGTGAACTCAGCAGTTCGACAACTACGAACTGAAATGCATGGGTTTTTATGCTAAATGTTTCTTTAGGTTAGATAGAATTAGTGCTATATTCACGAAAAATTTTGGTTCATTGATATGTCGGATTTAACGTTCCGTAACCGCTATATGATTATGGAAGACGCTACCTTCGAGGGCTCCAGTAATTTTGACCACCTGGGGTTGTTTGACGTGCTTTTAAATCTAAAGTTACGAGCCTGCAGCATTTTCGCTTCCATCAAAAATGCAGTCGCAGCAACCGGGTTTTCATCCCGGAACCCAAGGGTGAGCAGTCGAGTACCATAGCTACGAGACTGCCGTGGCGTCGCCGCTCAATTTAAAACTACGTGAACAGCATCATCAGAATTCATGCTTTGTCATCTGAACCTGTTCGTGCGCGTTTCACGAACGTCGTTTTTGTGACGAATATAAGCTGGTGATATATAGACCATGGCATAAAACACTTTCAGGTTCAAATGTGAAATGTCACACAAGTCTTCTTTCGGCAGTTGGTTGATGAGTGTGTAAGCACTGTACTTTAATGAAGGTAATCGCAATCTCTGTAGTGCCGTTTTCAGGCCGCAACAGAACGAGATGTATCGCAGCCGCTCTCTACCACTCCGGCACGTAACATGTATACATGTACAAAGCGGCAGATGGAAGGCACGTGCCACACAACTTGCACACTTTAGATATTCTCAATACCCGCAATCCACCGTGTAGAGTGTACATTGTTTCATGCAGAGGGCTCTCTTTGCACTTATTCAAACTTGATGGATTGAATTGGTCATGTAAATTGGCATCTTGATGTATTTATTGCGTAGACAATGTACACAATCACACAGGTCACAATTTTATATTTTGTATGCCTTGCGGTTCACCGAAGCATCTGAAGCAACGTCTTTGCGACCTTTTTTTCAAACCGTCAGTATCGTACTCACTCCTGAGACAGACAAAAAAAAATGCTTTCCCTGTCCGTGCATCCTCATATAATCCTTACGAATTCCCTATGAAACCTACATGAAGGTCCTAAATGAGTGACTATGAGGCGACCTTTTTTTCAAACCGTCAGTATCGTACTCACTCCTGAGACAGACAAAAAAAATTGCTTTCCCTGTCCGTGCATCCTCATATAGTCCTTACGAATTGCCTATGAAACCTACTTGAAGGTCCTAACTGAGTGACTATGAGGCTCTTTTGATGATATCAAATAGAAGCTCATTTCTCAGATGCTCGTTAGCTCTTTAGATTATATTAATCAGTGGAGTGCGAGGTTGACCAATTTGCGCATGCGTTCCCGCTCCGCACGGCCTTCTGAAGCGCTGTGACGTTTTCGATCAGCAAAGTGGACAATTGGGCTAGTTGGTGATCCGTGATCTAAGTGTACTACGTGGTCGAAAACACGGACGGGAAAAAAACAAGGGCTGTGCTTGTCTTTGTCTTTTCCCGTCCGTGTTTTCTACCGCGTAGTACACTTAGATCGATCATTTCATTGTGTCATTGAACTCTAACTTCCTGCCGAGAAGGTTATGGTGAATCGAATATATGCAGGCTCGCTTACAGCTTTTCGCACTTAGAGGTTCACGTTGAAATACTTGTACGAGCAATATTGCTTGTATTCCACCGATGGCTTTCAACACCCTTTGGTTTTGGGCATTTGTTCTAGTTACTGTAGCTATACCTCCACTCATGGCAGTTAAAAAAGACGTAAGTGACGGATTTTATAATTTCGAACTACATTTTCGATGGTATTTCTCAATAATTGAATAACTCGATTGCAATATAACATTACATTCAGCACACCAATATCAATTATTTGTGTAAGTAAAACCACAACGTTATGACTACGATGTGTAATCCAAAATCAAGACTGAAGCCGACGGGGGGACACATGTAGTGGGGTAATCAGGGCGAACAGTGGAAGTGCCTAAAACAGGCTGGCCAACCTTTCAATAGGAGGACCTATCTTTGTCGAAGCCGCCTTCTCGTCGTTGGCGTGTTAGTTTTAAGGGGATTAGTAGTGACATCACTTCCTGATGGTTGCGCGTGTCTCTGCTGGTAATCGCTGTCTGAAAAACAAAATCTACAAAGCAGAAGAGTGCAGCCCTTGCTTCATTTCAAGTTAGGCTGCAATGTGACACAGCATACTCTTCTCGGAGGTCTGGGGCAGTGGAAGCAAAAAAAGTGAAAAACAAAGAAAAAAAGTCTTCAAATGCAAAGTAAGAACGGTGTGCTACAAAACGGTGGCCGCTATAGACACGAACCCATTGTAAGCGTAACATATTCGCAGTGCAGCGGCTACCTTGGCATGTACAACCATCCCGAACTGTTTCCTCATGAAAACTACGAGGCATAAAACTTCTAGCAACTGTAGTCAATCAACTTGATTGTGAAGTATTGACCTTCGTGATGGCCTTAAGATGTGTATTTGTCGTCGTATGGCAGCGAATTCGAAGCGAAACATCAGCTAACTTTGCTACTTTCAATATGAAGTGTACAATTTCTAAATTATTATCGTCATTGCTCTCAAGAAATGGGTTTTTAGCTACAAACATTGTTGTTTTATAGTTGGCAGGATGTGTATCTTGCGAAAGTGAAAAAAAATAGGAACAATGAGCAGGAGAGATGTCATTGGCACATAAACCACATAAAAAAAGGTGTACATTGTTATTGATGGTCGTAGGGAGGCACTCTGCAACAGTGTATGTTAGTAGCCCTTTCTGTAACACAGTTGTTTTATCGGGACTAGAACATACAGATTAGTTCGATGGAAGAAATTGACCAAACGAAGATGTAGGAATCTATGGATGTAAGTGCTTGTCTGATTCCATTAGCTATTGTAAACTGCTAGACTAAAATTTGTGCATACAACAGTTATATTTTTTATAAGACCTATTCGCATGCTAGGACCCATAACAATGGCGATTGTGTCACTAATATATTTTAGCATGATATTGTTCACGTGCCTATAATGTCAAAATCAGGAGTCATCGGCACGGTCCCTTTGCGACAAGCCCTTATAAAATCAAGGAGTAAAAGGCACGCATTGAGACGATGTATAACGCATGATTACGACATGACATGTAGCACTTCAACCACAGAGCACTGACGAATGCCCGAGACTGCTTTGTAAATGACTTCATGCTAGCGTTATTTCAGAAGAACTGTCTCATTACCATAGTAGTGCATGACAGAATCACACAATAGCAGCAAGCGCAGCCATTCAATGATTAACGTATGGATGCTTCAGCGCTACCGACACCTTACCTAGGAGCAACGATTATTTCTTACCATCATCAAAAACAGTAGCGTCAGGGCCTCTCTAATTAAGAAAACACAACATATCAAGATATTTTTGTCGGCATTTTCGAACTTAGAGAGCACTGAGGAGCAAAAAAAAAACAGTTATGCTGAGCGTCTTTGTTCATCATCACTAACAGTGACCTGCCGCACTGTAACGTCTCCGCCACCTGCAAGTATTAGCAAATATATATGCTCTCTCATAAGAGAATTTCTATAAACGCACACTTACACTTTCGTGCTGCATTAAAGTTACGTAAAAATCATAGTCACAATTATGTGCCTACTGGGGTAATTTTAGCTGATAAGCGGGGCGCTATCACGTGAACTAGATCTCGCCATGCAGCAGCCTTGAGACGACAGTGCCATTACAGCTTTGGCCACCCATGATTTTAGTTGAAGTCTTCATGGCTTCAACTCAAAACGTCTTTCGCTATCGCTACTGAGTCACTCTTTTGAATTGTAAAAATAACTACGCAACACCAATATTTTCACAAAGCTGACACGCTACTTCACCTTCTTGAATCATTTTGGGATGTAATTCACTTTTTCTTATCTTCTGCTGGGTCGAAAACGCGCTGTGCAGCGCCACAATGACACGAAGGATGCATCTCCGGTTTATCCACCTCCGAGCAGAAGATAATTAACAGAAACGTGGACGAGATGCTCACTAGAGCATAATTGAACAGCAGTGTAGCCCATGAACGTACTCCTGTAGTTGTTCTAAAGAACGGTTGGGGATTCTCTTAACACAACCGGTATTTGTGCAAGGTCCCAAGAAACGTGTTATACGAGCTACCACGCATTGATGAGACTCTAAATCGACTTAACGGGAATGAATAAATTTCTCAGTTCAAGCTGGGAGTTAAAAAAAACCCTTTTGTGCTTCCACACGTTTTTCACCATCTGAAGTTGATGTATTTTCGGCTATGCAACCCTCCGGCTATCTCCGAGCGCATGATCAACTCCGTCCTCTGTGGCTTTAACAAGTAAATTTACCGTAGTTTCCTTGACAGTAATATAAAATTTTCACCAATTATTCCAATATACATCAATAATCCTTCGTTTTCTTTGTTATTCGCAATGCATCAAAGTCGCATTTTATATGGTAGCAACTGACGATGGCCGGACACCTTGCCAACTTCCTTTGGCGTACGCACTGACCCTAGTGAAGTAGTACCTAAGCAGAATCTGATCGTGCATATTTGCACGTAAGATGCCGTACCTTTATTCGGACTGCGCTCACACTTTAGGTGCTTTGCGAACAATTTTGCAGACAATGAACAGGCTCTCATGCACCTAATGAAGAAAAATATGCCCTCCTCTTTGGGCGCTGTGTAGGCTACGATATTTCTGCGCTCATTACTTTGACACCAAAAGCTACTCTTGGCCCACTTGAGGAGTCCACCCCAAACAAACGACCCACTTGAACGGTTTCACTCTGACGACGACCATGACGAAGAGGGTTCCGTCTTAGTCTAGCTTCAAGCAGGGGGAGCCTGCATTATAGCCAATGCCAACAGTCTTTTCTCGGGTGCCAAAAGGAACCACTTATTCACCGAAGGAGAGTGCCTTGCTATCGTTTGGCTGGGAGGCGCAGTTCGGCCAAACTTACACGTGAAGATTTGGTGGTCATAAACAGCCACACGGCGCATTTTTCCAGCTCAGGTCCTAGAAGGATGACATTAGGCGCCTGTTGTCGCTGCACGCTACGGCTTTAAGAATACAAGTGCGTGGCGATCTTCTATCTGGCCACTTAGACCTTCGTGCTGAAAGCCTGTCCCGTCATCAGTAACCCTCCTGAGGTATTTCATGAAGAGCCACCATGTTCGCTGTCAATATATGCTTTATGCAGTACTAGTAATTAACTATGCAGAGATCCTTTTACATATGACAATACTGAGAAGATGCGATCTACGAAGTCCGATCCGTCCATTCGACAGTAATGCTTTAGGACAGCCAGTCGTACAGTCGCAGCGGCCACACATTTTCACGCGGACAGCTCATGGTAGCACCTTGCCACCTAGGTATTAATATAGTCTCATCGGTCTGCTCCTTGAGAGCCACACTTCCGATAACCTTGTTGTTCCTCGAATGGTTGACTGTAGGAATGTTTAGGTTACTGGGACAGTTCTTATCGCTCTGGGTACAGCTTAGTGATGTACGACCAGCGCGAACGCCACCAAACGATATGTGATCCCACGAGAACTTATGCAGTCGCTTGACCAAGTTCCCCACCTTATTTTTCTGGTTGCCTTGATCTCCTGACATCTTTCCCGTATGTACTTTTGGCAACAAGAGGGTAAATGTTTCCACAACGTACACAACGTGCCGTGCAATTGCACAGGGGCTACTAACCTGTGGTGCTGCGAATATTGGCTGTTTCCTGCCTCCTGTAAGAAGTTTTCTTCAACCGTGGTGCCCCCAGAACTCCGCACAGATCGGGGACGCTTGTGTTTACATATTTTGAAGACCCGCTTTGCTGATGCGTGATAAATCATATGTTTAAGACGGTGTGCCATCCATTCAATATCGAAGTTACCTAACGATTCAATCAGACTAGCTGGTATGCGCTCTATGTACGTCTCCTCTGGCCATCAAAACAGAGACGTAGCATTATTCGTTGTTTATACTCGCTTGTAATTGCACACGCCACAACACAAGTACTTTTTATCGTGTTATGTTTTTGTTTCTACGACCAAGTTTTACTCTTCCAGAACATTTTCACTGGAGCCCTTGATTCATTGACTGAATAGCGCCGTGAAGCTATTGCTATAGAGACCGCACAGCCCAAAAAGTTGTCCGTCAACGTCTTCTAGCATCGCAAGATTATGAGCAGCAGTGCTACGAGGAGTGCCAGGGTGGCGTTTTATTCACCCTGCTTTCCGCTGAGCTGCTGTGGATACCAATGCGGCATGTTTGAGACTGAAAGACAGTTTTTCCAGAGCGTACTACTACCGGGTATTACTAAGCCCGGGACAGTTGAAACGTAAAAGAAAGAACTCATTTCGCTGTCTACAGGCATTAATTTTGCCGCCCCCACTTTGAGTGCTATCATCTTAGGGTCACCTTATGAGAGTATCGCACACTGCTGCAAGAGACGCAGAGCCGAGTGAGGAATCGGCAAGGAAATGAGTGAAGCAGCGAGGCAGAAGTGTAAAAAAAAAGTGAACAAGCATCACACAATGCTGATTTATTTCTTGACCACTACGTCGTTTTGTGGCTGTCACCAGCTGCGTACATCATCATCATCATCATCATCATCATCATCATCATCATCATCATCATCAGCCTGACTACGTCCACTGCAGGACAAAGGCCTCTCCCATGTTCCGCCAGTTAACCCGGTCCTGTGCTTGCTGCTGCCAATTTATACCCGCAAACTTCTTAATCTCGTCTGCCCACCT